TACACGAATGAGGAGGACGCTACAGATACTGTGGGGACGTACCAGCAGCCCCCTCCAGCAGATGCTTTTGACACCGAGACCCAGGGGTACCAAACGCAGAACTACTGAGCCACCGATGCCCCTTCCCTTTCCCCCTTCCCTTCTGCCCCTTTCCCACTGCTGGCAAAAAGCCAAGGCACAAAACAGACACGTGCGTAGTGGCACAAGAGGTGGCTCTCAGCTATGCTCCAGCCTTCTGGGTCATCTGTTTTTATTTATTGTTTTTAAAAAGGCAAAACAAAAAAGCCCTAATCACTTCTTCCTTCTCGTGCCCTCAGAGCTACCTGCCCGAACCAAGTTGTTCCAAGTGTGTCACTGTGTCGCAACAAGAAGAGTCCCCCCTTCTCTCCCTCCTCCCTTGCTGCGGGAGGGAGGACTCTGGCTCATCCTCTTGGTGGGCAGGAGAGAAGGATTACAGCACCAACAGAGTAGGGGAAAAAGGCACTAGAGGGGGAAAGGAAGGAGTGGGAGGGAACAGGGACCTAGGGGTTCCTAGGAGAGCTGGTGCTGCTAAAGGCTGGAGTAGATGTAGGAGCATCCGAATTGGGCCCAAGGCCTGGTTGCTCAGGGAGGGGAACATGAGGTGGCAAAAGGAGGGAAGGCATGAGAGTTAGCATGCAGGCATGCAAGGGTGGAGGGAGGGTTGTAGGTGGGTGGTAGAGTGGGAAAGGGTTCCCCACGCAGGCGTGCAATGACAAAGGTGCTTTTCTCTCCCATGCTGATGCACACAGGCAAGGGAGGGATGCTTTATTTTTAGACCGTTTGGGGAGGAATGGTATTGCGTGGTGGGCGGGGGGAGAGGGGGAGGGAGCACAGAGAGAGAAAGTGGGAGGGGAAGGAGGAAGATTTGCAGGTACAATCAAAAACCACAGACTCATCTGTAGATTTAACTGAAGAGATAGAGTAGAGTAGAGGGACAGCGCCATGAGAGTCAGTCTGTCCCCAGGTCCTTTTGGATTGAGTTTTGGATTGAGCTGGTTGTGTTTTTCCCCTTAACTGTACGTCTTAAATTTCAACTCTTCTCAGACTAGCACTGTGTTTAGTGAGGCAGGACGGGGGAGCTGTGCTGAGTCCCTGGCATCAAGGTGCAGGCCCTGTGGGAGAAAGGATGGAGGAGGTGTGTTCCTAGGAAGTCCTTGTCCCCAGCTGGGCTGTTTGAGAGAGTCTGATCGGGGGAGAGGAGAGCTTTGCCATTTCACCCTGGGCAGGAGGAGGAGGAGAAAAAAGCTAGTTTGACGCATGCCCTACTGAATCTTCCTGCTTTCCTCTGCTGCCAGACTGCAAAGCCTCCCAATAACACCATCCTTGTAGTATGGAGGTATGCAGCAGGACTCCCTCTGGCAAGAAATACTGCTGTTACACAGCAGGGGTGTAACCAAGTAGTAAAGGGTCCTGCGCCTTCCCAGCTGAGCTCTGTGCTTTGCTTCCCACTCAGATGGGGAGGAGTTCTTAGTGTGCAGTTCAGCAAACTGAGCTGAAATGGGAGAATTTCCTCTGTCCATGCAAAACTGGTTTGGGCCAGGCTCAGCTCTCTGAAAATTGAGGTTACTATACCTTACCTAGTGCTCCTTCTGCAGCATCTGAAATCCTAGCTGTCTTTAAAGCTGCACCTAGGTGGCAGTGGTGACTGCCAGACAGAGTTCATATTGATGCTTTTCCATACTCCTGATGATTTTGTTTCAAGTAGAGATGCTGCTCTGGAAGCAGAAGTAACCCTAGGATAGAAGTAATATTTATTCCAGAAGACAGCGTACCTAAAGGAAAATAATTCAACGATAGCCAGCTGGACAGTTTTCCCCAGCACAGACACCTCTCAGAACACAAGAGGCTGAAACCCAAAGCTGGGTATGTCTTGCAGCAGTGAGGAGCTCCGTTCCCTGGGCTGCCAGCCCTGGTGCCAGTAACGCTGGCCTGAGTGGCAGAGATTAGGAGCAAATCCCAAACCCATAGGTGCTCCCCCTGTGTGTTCTACCTATTCCCTGTAGCACCTTCAGGAGTCAGGAGGAGGGGACGCAGGTCTGGCCTGAGGTTGTGTGAACATCTTGTCTGGAGGACACTGAGTCCTGTTTCATCAGGATTCCCATTAGGACAGCGTAAAACATCCAGGTTACCAGTCCTTCCCCTCCTCCTAGGGTTACTTCTCTCCAGCTCTCCCACTGTGACAGGGAAAGGGTGTGAAACCTAGAGTTGCAGGCCCCAAAGGGAGGACAATTTTCTCCATTGTGCATAGGCACAATTTCTACCTGTTGTCTCCAGCTTTCAAGGGCTGCTAGACCTGCCTGCAGGAGTGAGAGAGAGATATGGCAGGGGCTGAGACGTTGCCTGCAGACTTGTGCTATGGGCAGCCCTCCCCATGGTTTGCCATCCCTTGGTTTGTGGTTAAGCACTAGTGAAGGCTGAGGAGAGGGGGACCAGTAGGCCCAGCTGAAGCACAAAGAGGAACTTAGCACATCCCTTGCTCTGTGGCCCTGAAAACATTACTGTAAATAGGAAGGGTATTTTTCAGAAGGAAGCCCCTCAGGCTTCTTTTTCTGTGAGACCAGCCTAATATTTAGGCTTGGGAGGGGGTACTTTATTGAGAGAGATTTGTCATGACTGTGGCTGTGGGGGGAGCTCCCTCCAGTCTGTCTCTTTCCCCAGGGGAGGGCACAGAAAGAAAGATGAGGTGGAGGAGGAGAAGAAGTAGTGTACTCATCCAGACTCATCTGTATCATCCTTCATGCTTTCATTTTGGGTGAGGAGGGAGAGGAGGAACTGAGAAAAGGAGGAAGCTATAAATAACCAGCCCTCAGCACAAAAATGCACTGTACTTTCCAGGAGGAACTGCCCATCACTTGTCCCCACTCATCAGGGGTGGTGAAGGACCAGGCTTATGGGGAGGAGGTATGGGCCAGAACCGAGGGGTCTGACTTGGGTGTCTGCTTTGGGGTATAGCATGGGACTGTCTTACCTGTCCCTTCTCCCATTAGAGCTGCATGGGTGGCTAACCATCATTTGGGGCTGACAACTGAGGAAGCTTTTCTGCATCCCCTTTGGCTTGTTTCCCTCATGTAACTGATGGGCTTTGGTAGGCCTGAGGTGGGAACAGGCCTCTCCCTCAGAGCAGGCCTGTCAGTGGGAAGTGAGCCAGGTGGCTTCATCCTGGGTTACTGCCCACCTCTCTGTCCCTTTTCTCTGTTTTTAAGTTGCAGGACAGGGACTGGTGTGGGAGAGGATGCTTTATAATAGTACATACTGAAGCAACTTCTGCTTTTGCTCACGGGAGAGGGCATACTCTCCTCAGGTTAACTTGTTTTCAGCCTTTGCCGTGGAGGCCTGGCGGCAATGGGCCCGGGGGTAGGATTCATCTTCTTTGCATGTAGCTCTTTAAAATGAAGTTTCCCATGGCATAGGCTGGCTCTGCAGCCAAGGAGAGATACAGCCCTATCCAAGGGGTTGGTTAGCCTGTCTGCCTGAGACGCTTATGTTAAGGTGCTGCCTATTTCTGAGGACCACAGGCAAGGCCTGGGCAGCTGGCTAGGACATGTCCCTTTTAGATCCTAAATGTGGGCGAGATCAGTCCCGCTCTAGGGATTAGAAGATGAGAGGGAAGGCCATATAAGCAAAATGATAGGAAGGCTTTCTTCCCCCTCTGCTGGTTGTCTGGATTACAGAGGATTATGTTGCTGAGTCAAATGCCATCCCCTGTTGCGAGCGTGGGCCCCTTGATGTCCTCTTGTTTTATGAAACCCCCAAGTAAAGGATTGTTTTATGAAAGTTGGGGCTGTGAAGGGCAAAGGGGTGATGAAACTTTGCCCCACTTCTACCTATCACTTCAATATCCTGAAGGGTATTGAGGAACAAGGTTCCCCCGTCCCTGGCTCACACACATCCCCACCATACTGCTTGTCACCTCCTTGTACACCCTTCCCCTCTGCATTATTCCTGGCAGTTCCCTTAGGGGAGGAGGGTGTCTTTGGCCCCACATCTTGCACCCTCATGAGTGCTTGGGAGGACCCAGCAAGGTAGCGTTGCAGGATGGTTCCCATAGGAGGCTCTGCTCTGGTCTCCAGAGCCTGCACAAGGCAAGGAGCCCAGTGAGGCCACCTCACGCAGCAAATCCAAACCATTCATCCAGAACAACTTTCTGCTGCCTCTGTGGCATCTCTTAACACCATCTGGGCTGCTCTGCCCCTCCCCCTGCAGCATTACTGCCTGTGTACAGTATATATTATATATATATATATTTAAAAAGATGTATAATATAAAGCTATACATATATACGTATATATGATGACTCACGGATGGCCTGCTGCATACAGGATCCCCAGAGTGGACTTGTCTAAGCCCTTCACCCCTCCTCCCCCTCTGACCCTCACCCCGGTCCGTTCTAAACTCCAACTACAGCGAACCCCACCACCTTGGCACCTGTGTTTACAATGTCCTATATATTTGTGGTTAACAAAGTGAAGGTGGTAACTACTGGTGTCTCAATAAAGTTATGACATTCAAAATAACCAAACTATGTCAAAAATGGGCTGGATTTTCTTCTTCTTTGTGAAAGGGTGTTTTTTTTTAGCCCAGTTTGCTACCATAGCAAGACTCACGTCTTCCCACATGGCTGGCCCACTGGTTTATGTCTGACAGACAGAACTTACCTGACAACTTGTTGGCGAGCGTTAACCCAGTTTGTCAGAGGGGACCATGGCCCAGGAGTGTGATACCAGAGCGCTCGCTTTCACCCTGACATCCTAGTCCCCTGCTCATAGTGCTTACAGGTTCATGCGCATCCTGGCTCCGTTCTGGGACAAGTCCAAGCATTGCCCTTGCAAGGGAAGCGGAGGTACAGAGCAGTGATGGGTACTGTGAGCCTGCCATGGCCTGCAGTGGGGTCACACTGATCTATCCCAGAAGGCCCTGGGGTCATGCAGTCTGGATACGACCTGGGTCACCTCAGTCAAAGAGCTAGATTGCCCACACCGACACTTCTCCGAGTGACTTCTGCCGATGGTGCCCAAGGTACTAAGTTCTTACAGGTTTAGTGAAGATCAGTGGCTGAATGGAGGATAGAGACCTAAATAATGGCCCTTATTGAGAGATATGTTTAAGGGGGAACTAACAGTTCCTTGTTTTACTGAGCTTGTTTCAAACCATCCATGCTGCTAAATGTCTCTTAGCTAACCAGCAGGAAAACATGGGAAGGAGTTGGAAGTACTATGTGAGAGGTGAGAGGTTGGGGAGGGAAGTGGGCTCTGTTGTGAAAGGGATAAGGTCATAGGAGATATGGATGGGGGTCATATAGGAATATAGGATACAAACCCATATGAAAATAAGCATCAGTAGCTTCACACCCAGGGAAGAAGATGGGTTTATTACTTTGATGCATCTTTACCTGTATTCACCTTTTGTGACTATTGCTCAGGTGTCTAGCAGAGTATACATTTTCAAAACATAATAAAATACTGAGAAATAAGAGCTCTCAAGACACTACAGATAGTGGGTTTTAGTGACAGACACCCTATCATTAAAATGGATCTCATTTCAACTTGCTGTGCAAGAAAAATAAAATTCAAAATGCCATCCCTTCCAGTGCTTAGACAAAGCTTTCCTCTCATCCCCTTCTAATGTGCCTATCTTCTGAGTATCTGAGGATCGCACGTGCCCACCCTTGTGCAGCTTGGGGGCAATAAGCAGAGGAACATGATGGTGAACAGTCCGTATCCAGTCCCCCAAACTGTCTCCCCTCATGCATACACAGATAGGCACACACACACACAGACACACACAGACACACACACACAGACACACACACACACACACACACTCCTTTCCCTCCTGAGTTTCCTAGCTTCCTTTCCCATAAGACTACATCCAGAAGTGCTGATATACCTACCTGTCTCTTGATTAATCTTTGTTTGGAGAAAGCAAAGATTTGCTTGTGCTTGTGGGTTTTTAGCTTGTGGTGTGGCAGTGTTGAGGAAATATCCTACCCACAGAAAGAAAAACGTGTGTTGGCAAATGTAAGAGTTAAAAACTGATGAGACAAAATGTTACCAAAAACAAGCATTTAAGATGAACAAGGCTCCAACGTTATGGGTTTATTTGTTTCTTCTAATTATTTGAAATCTCTTTAATTGCTTTCTCATATTTCAAGCTCTTATGAGTCATGTTTTGAAGCTTTTCCCTGCAGCCATGACATCTAGAAACATAATTCTGTTACAAAGTTAAAAAATGAAATGTTCACATAATCCCAGGGCTCCAAGAGCTGAGGCTTTGTTTAGTGTATCCTGGAACTCAATAAAATCATGTGCTTCAGCACAACTGTAACAACTCCATTTCCCTCCTTCAAAAAAACTGAACTGGCTCACAGCTCTTTACTAAATCAATTTTGCAGAGATATTGGCTTACTCTCTCTCTCTTATCTTTGGGCATCAGTCCTCCCTCACCATTCCCCTTCTCCTGGCTGTAGCTATTCCACTTTGGCCCTCCATCTGCCTGGAGGGTGCTGGAGGAAGGAAGCTGCTCTCTCCTCTATCTCCATCTTTCCTTCCTTAATTCTTGTTCCCTCTATTGCTCTATTGCTCCATTTCTATTTCCTTGCCTTTCCAGCCTGCCTGGAAGTAGTGGCCTACAGAAGAACCAGGAGCATTAGGGCATCTGGGCCTGTGGGAAGCAGGGGGCCGAAGCTGGTACAGGTAGTTGAGGAGAGCTTGGGAGGAGCTGTGTGATGCTTACAGCGCCGCCCCTTCTACCATCGGTCTCTGTAAGGCTCTGCCGTAGGAACAGAGCAAGTGCAGCAGGCTGGCTCTGCTTGAGTGACTCTTTTCCAGATCAGCGCCTGCAAGCTTTGCCGAACATCATGACTTTCCTCCCAGCCCCAGCCTCCATCATCAGCAAAACAGGGCAGAAAAAATTCTCCTTAAACCAATCTCGCTTGTGACCAGCAGAGAGAAACTAAATGATATGATGGCTTTTGCTGGTAATCCTATAATAGCTTCTCATTGTGTAAAATTTCTGAGTACTTACAGCAGCACCTTGCAGGGGCTGTCCTACTGACATTGTGCTCCCCCAGGGCATGCTGTTCAACAGGGAACATCTTTTATCTACTGGTCCAGCAGAGTGAGCATGCTTCCTTTTCTACAGAGAAATCATTTGTAAAAACAGGAAGGCAGTAGTACCACTTGGCACCAGAAATGCTGTGTATATAGTCCCTAGCGCTGGGAACAGAGAAGCAAAGAGAAATAATAAATACAGAGGGGGAGAGAGAGAGAAAGAGAGAGAGAGGAATGAGAAATATGGGAGTTTTAAACTGACATGAGAGAGGGAGCTGTGCTTTAAGATAACTCTAGATCCGGTAGTCACTGACTCATACAAGGAATTTATTTGCGTGTGGATGAGGTTCAATGGCCGATATCCTGCATTCTTGGGGAGCTTTTGGCTGTCTCATACAGCACAGTAATTTCTGAGAGGATTTACTAAAGATAAGAAGCATAAATAAAACAAAGGGAAAAGTAACCTTGATCAATATAACCAAAAAAACTCTGTTGGTGCAATATTTCATTTAGCAAGTGCTGCATACAGCTATTGGTCTCTGTGAACAGTTATTCACGAAGCAGCATACAAGCATCAGTAGCATTTTCCTTCAGAAGACTGCAAAATGCTTGAGAAGTACCCATTTAGCACTGCAAACAGCCCTATCGGGTAAGTCTTATCATTCATGTTTTGCAGAGAAGTAGCTAAGTGCTTTGCTCAAGGTTAGGGCTGGGACTCAGTGGCAGAGCCACAGTAATATCGAGGTAGAATCTGGCACAAGTATATTCACCACGTGAAAATGTTTTGCACCAGAAGGTCTGTGTTCCAGCCCAAAGGGGAAGGAAAAAGATAAACCAGAAGGACAATAATCAGTGAGTGAGAACTGAAGTCAGACCCATTTGAATTAGGAATAGGGCACGCTTTTAACTGCAAGAGGTGACTAACCATCGTGCAAACAAGGAAAATGGCAGCTTCTCTATCTATCTTCCAGAAAGTTGTTTTCCTCTCTCTCTGGGAACAAATTCTGCCCCATCTCACACACCCACACACACACCCACACACACACCCACACCCCCACACACCCACCACTCTTTTTAGTCTCAGTAGGAGTCAGTTATGGATATGAGAAGACAGAAATGACTCCTAAATTCCCAGTCCCGCAATGCGATACACCCTGGAAAGTCTCTAAGCACTTGCTGATTTCAGTGGTGCTTTGTGCAAGGACAGGGTCTGCTCATGCTCATCAAGGTGCATGCCTGCAATCTTCAATGTCATTAAATAAGCATAAGCTTTTGCTGCAATGCTGAAGAAAGTGACATCGTGTTTTAAAGCAGATAACTTGTCTGTTGCTTGTTAACTACAAAGACAGTGCTGTTCTATACGGGTTTCTGCAGCACCATGAACTTTTAATAGGGATAAGAAAACAAATCTTTGTTAGTTCTAAACCTGTTATTCCTAATTTTAATTTTAATGCTGACTCAAGGCCCATTCCTATAATTGCTTATACCCACTCACAGCTTTACAACCACAAATAGTTCAAATGAGATCAGTCAGACCAAGCTTGTACATAAAGCTAAACATGAGGAAACTTGTTTGTACACTGAGATTTTAGATGTAGCATTTTCTTCCATCTTTGGACAATATAACCTTTAAAATACTGCCTGTGTATCCAAGTCTGCTTGAACAGCTGAAAATGTGTGCGTCTTGCCCAATGGGAAAGGATATGAACTCTTTGTATATTTGGAAGAAAGAGATGTAATTAAACAATAGACAAAGGATTTACAGGAAGGGAGCTGGAATCCTCTGGCAGGAGTCCCTGCAGCAAAAGCCATAATTCTATAGAATGAGGTTAATTAACTGGCAATTATTTCTAAAGTGCATCTGAATATAATACATTTGCCACAAAGATGTCAGTAAAAGAGTATCAAGTGACTGCTGGAAGTCAAGACTACTTAGTACTCCCACCCTCACCACAACTGCACTGCTACACTTGACTAAAACTGCACATCCAGCATGTTGAAGACCCTTCAGTTCTGATTCGCAGAGAGAAATGTGCTTTTCCCAGAAACCCCTGGTGCTGCAGCCAGTCTGCCTGCCATCGCTCACTTCGAGAGATGCCAATCACACACCCGGAAGGCTCTTCAGCTGACTTACAATGAAAGTAAGTGATGGGAATGATCCCTCTTTCTTCCCTCCTGATTCAGTAGGGCTGGTTAAATGGAAACGGTCTTTCCTGAAACTGTCTACCTCTGCCTAGAAAGGCAAAGATAGGTTCTTAAAGAAGAGCAAATTCAGTTATCTCTGTGTCTATATCGCTTAAGTAGAAACAGCAAAGTGAATGTGTTGGTCTAAGTTTCCTTAGGGAATCTATTGACAGGAAACGGCCCTGAATATAGTCTAGATTAAGAGCTCAATATCAATACCCTTTTTACATACACAGATGTCAGGTATTCCCACCCAAGGTCCTCCACATCCCAGGTGAGAGGCAGAG